GGCTCCAGAGAGCGGCCAGGGCTTGGAGCAGGAGGCGGAGGAGCTGGCGCGGAGGCAAGTGCATGGCGCCTTCTCCCCGTTTTACCTCAGCCGCGGCTGTGGCGCTCCGGGGGCGAACGCGGCTTTTCAGCGAGCAGATAACGGCGTGCATGTGATCAGCGCTCCGCTCCCGAAAGTTTCGGTTTTCTTTCCTTAGAAAGTGCGCGAAGCCCTTCAAAATGCCCAGTCTTGAGACGCCTTTCGGAGGGCCCCCGGCGGTGGGCTGCCAGGCGGTGCTCCCAGGAGATACGGTGAAAAGTGCTGCCAGTTAGGAAGCTGGAAGTGGCAGTGTTAGGGTCTGAATCAGACTGCCGCTCCGTCAAGGTGCCTAGGACCAAACAACGTGCGTAATATTTTATTTTATTTTATTTTATTTTATTTTTGCATCAAATTTATATGGCCGCCCACCTCACGAAAAGTGACTTTGGGTGGCGTACAACAAAGTTATAAAACAGTAAACACCTAAAAAACAATTGTTACTAAAAAAAATAAATTAAAAAACATAATTTTTAAATTATAAAAAATAATACGTGCTTCAAAGGAAGGTGTTTTGTGCTGGAAGCAACAGAGACCATGTTCCATACCCTACAAGATCCTCCCCCCAATTCTTTTCATAAGACAGAGTTGGTTCCCCAAAGGACTGAGGCAAGACAGGCGTGTCTGTTCTCACACCCCATCCTTGTCTCGCATGCTCAAGAGGACTCACTTGGGTAACGTATTTCTATCGGTGAGGGGGACTCAAAGTTTGATGGAAAATGGACGCGGCTCAGGAGCATCCAGTTTGTGACCTTCAGAATGGTGGGCCAAAATGTCAGGACTTGGTTTAGTTTTCATTTTTTGAAGTTTGGGAGACTTCTGAGGAGCCAAATGGATGTCTTCTGGCAAACTTGACAGATAACCATTTCACAACTGAGATTCCTGCTCTCCCCTCCCCCGCCATCTTTTGGAGAGTGGCCCTTGCCTGGTGTAGCCCTCCAGCCAAAGGATATTGTGCAGCCTCAACGTCCAGAAGGATGAGGAGGCAGCCGCATTTTGTAATGGCTGTCTTCACACCGCATGTTGGCCAACCACATTTCAGTGTAGCGTATTGCATAAATCCAGCCCATGGGGATATGCACTATGCACTAAAAACCCATGGGGGTTAGTTCATGTTAGGGTGTTGTGCAAGCCTAGGAAATAGGATAACTGAAAAAACCATATTTAATTTACCCATAGGTAAATATGTCATGTGAACACAACCAGCAGATGGATAGATATTTATACTATTTGAGTCTGACACCATTTGTATTAGAGTAAGGTTAGGCTGTCAAAATAAGAACCAAGTACAATACTAAACTTCAAGGATAGGGTTATAACTACAAAACATAGTAGTTGCTTTTTTTTTTTTTTTTGGTCATCTATGACCCTATTATATGGTGGCAGTACATTATGTCTCTGATCAATACATTATCTGAATAAGATGGGGCCATGCTGTATTTTTTGGCTCCCATTGCATTCCCCTAAGTAGATCTCTTACTTACAACAGTGTTTGATAGCTATAAATCCAACAAATCCAACTTTTTCTCAGATGGCAGTGCAGGCATGGAAACCCTCCTTCCGTTGAATATTTTAAAGGCATATAAAAGGTATTTTTAAAAAGCTTACACATTGTAAAGGGAAGACACTATGCAACATTCCATTGTTTTACCTACCATTTATGTATGAGTAGGTAACAAAACTCCAGTGCCCTCTTTTGCTAAGATGCAAATGTCAATATTCATTGTTTATCAGGTGTTTTTATACTACTGTACTCTGAACTAGGTGCCCTCCAAATATGCTTGGCTACAACTCTCATATGATACTTAATCCAGGCTGCTGGGTGGGATGGGGGCATGATCCTGTACAGTGGAGGGTACCAAGGAAGGTTGTCCCCTTAGCCTCACATAGAGGCTTATATCATGACCACCAGAGAGTAGATGATTCTGAGCATATACTTAGAATGGTTCCGTATGTAGGTTACTGGAAAGCAACATTCATGGTATGCTGCTCTGTTTTTGTTGTCACTCTAGCCAAAGAAATGACCACAAATATTAGACTAGCCATACTGGATTAAAATAGATGGCAGTAGTAAGAAAATGTCCAGCCTCTTTCCAAAGAGCTTTGAATTTTGGTGAAGCAAAAATGGGGATATGGATAAAGTAAGTATCAGGCCTAGCAGCAATACCAAATGAAGCAGCAATAGGAATCACGTGGCAAAGTCATAATGTACTTGGGTTATTTGGAGAAAAACAAATCAGAGAGCTGGGAAATGACTAGTGAATAACAGAAAGCAAACAGAAACTCTCCAAAGCTTTAGAGGACCTACTGAGTTTATTCTCCTTTATTTGTTTTATTTGAGCATTCAGGGAAAAGGTTTGAAAACAAAAGTAGACTCTTTGGAGCCTAAGCAGTCCAAACTAAGAACTCAAGATAGCATTCAAAATAACATGCCTAACCAAGGAGATGAATTGTGACCTGCCTCTGCTCTCCTGGACTCTTAGCAGCAGTCTCAATTAGCCTTCTAGCCTCAACTGTGAGCATATAAGCAGCTCCTTACTTGGGTACTCTCTGGCCCCCATCTTCCTTCCTAGGAAGATTTTCCTCTCTTCTCTACCTAGGCAATGTGTTCAGACAAGGCCAGGCAGAACAGAAGGGTGGGGGAGTTTGTTCCTACAAACAATACCTGATAAAGGTAATCCAGCAGGTGTTTTCTCTGTTGATTTCTCTTTGTCATCCCCCAACATCCCCACAACCCTCTACACCTGCCTCTTTGATAGAGCAGCCTTTATGCTTAGCAGGCACTGAGTCTGAAGGCACTCATTCTCTGCTGCTGTGGCTTATTCACAAGAAGTCTGGTGTGTTGCTTTCACCACAAATGTGTGAAAATGATATGTCTCAGGACAAATGGTTAAATGATGGGCATCCATAAAAAGCAGAATAATCCATGCACCAGTATATAAATTTCATCTCTAAACTGTTTATCAATAATGGATCTGTGAAAATTATGCAAATGACAATAAGGTATGGTACCTTTTCTGTCCAGTAGATAATTGGAGTTCACCCTTTTATTTTTTCCTTCCCTGATGCTTCCCCCTGTCCCACTTTACTATTCTAGTTTGGCTGGAAATGAGAAGACTCCTAACCAAGGGCACTGGTAAGGCAACCATGACTTCTCTGATGATTTTTTCCTCCCACAATGATAAGGAATCTAAAATTGCCAGTGGAATTCAGATCACTAAACAAAATATCTGGAAGGAGATTAATTTTTACAAAAAGAGATAGGTTTATAATTCATGTTTACGTTGTGTCTAGTAGCTGATTTATCAGTGCCAGATTTGTCAGTTTAACTATAAAGGTGAATCTGTGATTTTATTTTCCTGTTGTGATGATCCTTTTTGTAAACTAACATACATTGCCTTAAGTTTCTTTCATTAATCAGAATTCACACTTTTACACACTTGAACCTTATGTGTTAATTTTATTTGTTTCAGTTACAATATTAATTCGGCAGTTCTTGTTATTGGGTATATTTTAGACACAAGTTTAATATATGTATGTGTATATGTGTCTATAAGTGAGTATAAGAGAACGACCAAGAAAAGAGACATTATTGTACAGATATTTTAGCCTTGCTGTATAGCCTGTTCCTGTCTCCAATATAAAAAGTTGGGGATTTAATTTTTAAGTACAGGTAGTCCCCAGTTTAAGAACTAGTTCCATTCCTAAGGTCTGTTCTTAAGTCAAATTTGTATGTAAACTGGAACAGTATTATTATATAATGCTGTATAAGTAGTACTGTATAACTAACTCAAGTCATTGTGTATTTAACTAAAATTTTGCTACTATAGGCTCTTTTCTTAACTATGCATCATTCTTAAACCAGGCATTCTTAACCCAGGGACTACCTGTACAATCAGATTTTTAAAAATTTTTTAATCCGCACTCAATTGTGGCCAATTCTGCGGTGACTGCCTGGACGAGTCCCTGCAGTTTTCAAGGCAAGGTGTTTCGGAA